TGAACACTTCAAAAATCTAAATTCTTAACGATATACCTCTCTGTATCTACTGGTCCATGAACGAAAAATTAGAAGATATTCTTTTGTTGTTCCTTGTACCCTTATATTCTATACTAAATTAGATAAATAAAAAATATGCAATAAATAAATGTGATTTATGTTATTCCTACTTCCATAGCTAAAGATTTGTGGTATTTAATTTATTACTTATTTCTTTCAATTTTTAAGGGCTAATTTTTAATTTTTTTAAAATTATTTGTTAATAAAACCAAATTAGGATTTCATTACCATTACTAGTAATTGCTGAGATATTACCCAAAAATCGATTTTAAAAATTATTCGACGACCACAGAATAGATAATTTACAACAACAGATCTAGATAAATGATTTCAGAGTCAGAAATGTAATAATTCAACCCGTTTTTATGGCGATATGTGACATTTCGCTTAGGGGTGACAGTTTTATAGACAGACACTTTAAGAAATTAATCCGATCGTTCTACAAACTCTAAATACGGTTAGTTGTTACCCAATATTTTCTTGGAAAATATTGTGAAATCCATCACGGTCCTGTATTTACCTAGTGAATAATGTAACAAATACTTATAATACAATATTACAAACCTAAGACCTAATGTGCTTGTGGTGACGCACGAAATGTCTATTTTTAACTTCAAAAAAGCAGGTATCGAATGTGGTAATTGCACTTGATTTACATGGAAAAAACTAACCACTAACTGACTTACAGGTTCCACATATTGATATAATAAGCATTTAAATGGTTTCTGCAGGGTATTGAACCAGTTATAATTTAGTTAAGAAATTTCAAAGTACTGTTTTGTGCACGTAATTTGCCAGGTCTATTTTTCTGAACAAAATGAGTTAAAAATATAATAATACTAGGTACCTACATTGATTAATGAGTGTAAAATATAAAATAATTATGTGTATTATCAAGGGCATAAAGTGTATCTATTATTTACTATTCGGTTGATGTGCATTACACATAATGAATCGTTTTGAGAAAAGCGATACACATTTTACTTTTAGATATTCCTATATTTTCCCTTACAAATTCGTAGAATTCTGTCAAAATTATTCACGTTTATGCATGCTGGTTGACAATGAAGGAAAAAATTAATTGTTCTGTCATCCTCTTAAAGTATTCTGAAAGATTTAATACCAAAAATATCTACAGAGAAATACGAAAATATTAATTAAAAAGGTATTATAATTTATAAACATATTAAAAACCTTTACACCAGGATCTAGACATTCATAGCATATCAAAAACTGTGCCATGCTGTACTGTGTTAAGTTGACTATAGTAGTAATACATAGCCTCACACAAGAAGAATACAGACCTTTAATTGAAAGCTAGGCAATTGCACACTACTTAAGAATCAACTTGTAGTTTCGCTAAAAACATTTAAATATCATAACAAATTTGGTTCTCTGTCTCTTTACTAAGTCGACTGGATTTGTTAAAAGTGTTGTCATAGTTAGTTTTTCAAGTTATCGTTAGTTTCCGTTCAGTTTTGGTGAAAAATATTATTATATCCTTGAGACTACTCGTTTGGTTCCTATAAGGGATAAAAATAGAGAGGAACAATCGTTAAATATACAGGGTGTTCCTAAATAAGTGTCGCAACGGAAAACTGTAAATTCCTCTTGAAAAAAGAAACATTCTTTTCCTCTTCCATTTTTTTCTTCGGGCTTTCGTTTTTGAGATACACGGTGTCAAAATTTTATTTTTTTTTTAAATTTTTTGCCAATATCTTAGGAATCGTTTGAACAACAGGACTGAGTTTTTGTACACGCATTATCACTATTAATAGCTAATTTTTGACACACTTCTCGAATTTATTGAACATGCCAGTGGTGGAGATTTTGAGGTATCGTAAGGGTTTTTTCCTCCTAACTTTTACGCCACTGGAAAAATTGATATTTGACAGCAAATTCTGAAGCGCCAATGAATTTTACACAAAAAGAGTTCTCTTGGTTCATTGCCCTAAAGTCAACCGTTTTCAAGAAAAATGACTTTTTATGAACAAAAACAAACATGCTAACGTTTCGAAAATCTTTTGTCATTCAAAAGATAGATAGTAATAATTAACCATTTTAACGAAATTTAACAACATTTGCAACAAGTAGCTATTAATAGTGGTAATGTGTGTACAAAAGCTCAGTCCTGTAGTTCAAACGGTTCCTAAGATAATGGCAAAAATCTGAAAAAAAGTTTTGACACCGTGTATCTCGAAAACGAAAGCCCGGAGAGAAAAATGGAAGAGGAAAAAAATGTTTCTCTTTTCAAGAGGAATTTACACTTTTCCGTTGCGACACTTATTTAGGAACACCCTGTATAACCTCGTATATATTTGTACAAGGTGGACCATGGGAGCCGGAAGTTTTGAAAATGACGTATTTCCGAAAGTAACTGTATTTAATTAAAACAAAGTATAGCAATAACAAGATAATTGTGTGCCATTTTTATTTCTTAAAAATTATGCCTGCTAAATGGCCTCCTCTTCTCTCCATACACTCTTGAAGCCGAACGTTAAAATTCTGCATAACACGACGCAACATATCCACGGAATATTAGCAATTTCTTCCCGTATTTTCATTTTCAGCTCCCGAATATCTCGTGGTTTGTCAATGAACACCTTGTTTTTTAGATAGCCCCACAAAAAGTAGTCGCATGCTGTAAGATCTGGCGATCTTGGGGGCCACTCAATATCTCCATGTCTGGAGATAACACGACCTGGAAACAAACTTCGCACGGAATCCATTGATGCTCTTGCGGTATGTGAAGTAGCGCCATCTTACTGGAACCAGCTATTGTTCTGTGGAAACATGTTCAGTTGCTGTATAAGGAACTGATTAATCATGTCAGTATAGCGTGCAGCATTGACTGTTAAAGCATTTTCATTGTGATCCTCAAAAAAATAGGGATCTATTATTCCCATTGAAGATATTGCGCACCATACTGTTACCTTGGGGTTGTGTAACGGCTATTGATGAAGTTATTGTGGATTTTCCAAAGCCCAATAAAGGCTGTTTTGTTTATTGGTATAGCCAGATAAATGGAAATGTGCTTCATCAGACATCCATAAATTGTGAACGTCAATTTCCTGCTGCAGCATCGTTTCAGCAAAATGTAGGCGAACAGGAAGATCTGTTGGTTTCAATGCTTGGACAATCTAGATTTTGTAAGGATAAAAATTGAGATTCTTGTGTACAATTCTAAGAAAAGTAGTCCTTGATAAGCCCAAGGCCTGGCTTTGTTTTCGACTTGAATGTTTTGGACTGCGCTCTACAGATGCTCTAACGCGATGAATATTTTCAAGACTTCTGACACTTCTGTTTGGTCCTTACGTTTGACATTTTCAGCTGATCCAGTATCTTCAAATTTACGAACCCACTCCTTCATGGCATGGGGCATGGTCAGATGGAACACTCCCTTGACCAGCAATGTTGAAATTAATTCGAAATTGCCGCTGTGCTGCGACCACACAATCGTTATTTTTGTAGTAAGATTTAATCACAAAAGAACGTTGTTTGCCGGATCACTGTTTCATGATTACTAAATGGCATAAAATTACAGATAATTTGTCAAACAAATCCGCGGCAACCTATGCATAGTAATGAAATAATAACATTTTCAAAACTTCCCGCTCCCAAGGCCCACCTGTTATATTGTTATATTATACGTTAAAAAATAATAGAACTTTTTAAATTACGCGCTAAGAGAGATATTTACTGATATACAGTTGGCAGCATTGCGTTGCACACACTCCTATGTAACCACATGTACTTGTTGATATCTTATTTAGTTCAGGGCCCGAGAACTTATACTTGAAAAAATGGGGAAACTCTGGGAACCACGTGACTTGAGATGGATATACAAGTTGGGGAAAGAGGATTTTGTAGAATAAATTTTGACAATTCCAATTATGAATCATTTCATGTCATTCTTGTTTGTTTATTGTTTATTGTTGGTTAGGTTTGGCGAGTGTTGGTGTGTGTTTTATTTGTGTTTTTAGTGTGTTTTATTAGATATTTCATTCACATTTATTTATATAACATAATAATGTCTGATCATCATATAATCACATTTTTTTATTAATAATAAAATGTTTTGTTTTTTTTAATAAAAAATGTGATCAGAGGTAGGTAGTTTTTTTATGGATATCAACACAACGAAAAATTTAAAGTTGCATAATAAATCTCTATTACAAGAATTAATCAAAGATTGATTTAGTAAAATTATTTACTTGTAATATTTTTTTATTCACCGTGAAAGCTAATACAATATAGAAAGCACTGAAACTCTATAATCATTTTCACAAAGTTACAGTATCAAAATTATTTCTTATTTTAAGTAGGAAGACTATTAGAGCATTTAAAAGTGTCTTTAATGCTTGAGCGATTTTAATGCTTTTTATCAAATGTACTTATTTTCTCATGGTGACAAAAAAAATTATCTACGTGAAAATTATTTTACAAAATCAATTTCTGAGTGATCTGTGTAGGGTGAGATTTGTTATGTAATTTTAAATTTAGCGGCGGCAGAATACCTAAAACAAATATTGAGTAGGTAGGTATATAGTTGTAGAGCGTACAACTAGATGGCGCTTGCATCTTTTACTGGCTAAAGGTAATTTAACTCACTGTATTACCGATAATTCCTAGAAAAGGAAAGCAATAGAAGTTGGAGAAAGTGTCAACAGTTAGCGCTGTTAATGACCACGAAATTTGTTCAAGTTTCCTATCTATAGTATCATTTATCTAGGATTTAGTTTTCGTGATACTGTTATTAGTATGCAACATGTTTAAGTGTTAGTGACGATTTTTGGAACGACATTGCAATGATTAATAAATATCCAAAAAAAAAAACAATAGTTTTACCCCTATGGGAATACAATGAGACTTATGTCTCACTGGGAGACAATGCTATAATCAATCCCAAATCAAAGAGTGGCTTAACAGAAGAAAATTACCTGTGAAGCCTCCCAAGCCAGTTTGTTCCATTCATCTTTTGACATGGAATGGTCAGGTTTTGGAGGAGGTTTCCTCCGGAGGTGGGGCGGCAGACTAGCATTTTCTCGTTCCCATTTCTGCAAAATAAGAATTATTTTATAAAATACTTTGAAGACAAAGAAAAAATGTGAGAAAAAGTTTTAAAAAGGTTTGTGTTTTATATTTATTAATGCATAAATGAAGATAATAAATAGTATATAAAGTCATGGGGGGAGCAGGGGGTGTGCACAGCCCACCTCAGAAAAAAAAGATCCAATGATATTCTATATCGGTAAGTCGCTGACTACACCAAGCAAAAATACTAGCTATACGCGAATAAAGTAATCCTCTATGGCCCAGTGATCGTTGCATTCTTTCAATCAGATTTTATTGTCCACGTTCACATTGGCAGCAATGATTAACAATAGATGTTTTTGTTAAAATATTGAATTAAACTGGACTAGTAGTGCAAAATTAGGAGAACATTCTTAGACTTTGTGACCGAATGTGTATTCTTCGCAATTTTGAAGTTTCATTCATTTTTGTTTTATTAGGCTTATGGATTCTATTATGATGGGTATATATTTTAGTACGATGAGTCTGTCAATATAGAAGTACAATTGTAACTGACGAATATAGAACTAATATTACATTCTAACATATGTTTTTATTTATTTATTTATTTATTTATTTATTTATTTATTTATTTATTTATTTATTTATTTATTTATTTATTTATTTATTTATTTATTTA